TTAATTTCTTAATTGGACAGGATTCAAAAATTAACGAAAAATCCAGCTTTTACCTATTTGGGATTAATATGTGGCTATATAATTACATGCGTAATTTGCGCTCTTTTATTGTCAAATAATTGCTTAACTTAGGGCCAATCTTTAGATTTTTGTGGGAGGGGAGGATCTGCCGAAAAAATTGAAAAAAAAAAAGAACATTGCAAAGCAAAATTTTCACAGGCAAAATTTTGACTAGAATCTTGAAAATTCAATCAAGAAAATTGCAGGATGACAAAATTTCGACTAGAATCTCTGAAATCTTACCAAATAAATTTCTAGTACTTAGTTCTAAAAAGTATTTCCTGCACTGACCAAATCATCCTTTCCCACTTCGCCCCTCTCAAGTGGGACACCGTTACCGCACGGTTACCGCACAGTTACCGCACCTGGCCTGCAGAATTTTGGTGAAACAATGGGGCACTAGAATTTGGTTACAGTACGATTACGGACACAGTACAGTACCGTCCGTTTCCCACTCATACGAAATCCGCTCTAGAGCACGCGTGATGTTGGGAGAGACCACGAGAAAAGTTTCAACTTTTTTGACTTTAAAACTTTTTCGAGTGTCTCTCCCACCATCACAAGTGCTCTATTTCACCGGTAAAGTCACAGGAAAATATCTTCTATTACTTTTATGATATAGCATTTTAAAATTTTGATAAAAATATGGTTTTATTTTAAGATGAATACAGATATTCTCCTTACATTGAGCGCGTATTACGGTAAAAAATGTGCAAACTTACACTTTCAATCGAAACCTTCAAACAAAATTCATGTGTTCAAGTCGCTAAAATGGCTTAATTAAGGAAAAGTCAATGAAAACGGACTTAAAAGAATTTGATTAACTCAAGGCTTGTAGCTTATGTAGACGTTCTCTACTTTAAAACCGCTAAAAAGCGAGATATCTTTGTTGTTGTTTTGGGTCGCCGAGTTCAATACAGAGCTGAAAACTCGTTTGGAGAGATAAGGCTGAGATTTGTAGTTCTTCTTGCGGCTGATCGCCAGCAGAATTTACTTCCCCAAGGGCTTGAGCCAACACGTTACTACATTGGTGCAGTTGAGATGAAGAGGGCTTGTTGTTGTAGCTCCTAAGACTTCTGCAAAACAAGGTTTTTTTTCTTTTTTTTTCTTGAAAATCTTCCTTGTTATATCTTTATCTTTGACTCCATATCAATTTCAAATGTCGGGTAATCCATACAGATTACCTACAACGTAAAACTGTAGACTAAAAGCGCTAGAAAATGAGAGTAAGGTTGTTGTTTTTTCGCTACCAGGGAGCGACCCGTGACTTTACCGGCGAAATAGAGCATAGATTTTTCTAGGCTTTCAGCCAATCAGAGCGCGCGTACTATCTAAGTTATATTATAATCGTCAAATATAATAGCGCATGGAAGACGAAATGTAGGGCTCTACAGCTATAATATAATACATTATATCCCAACAATATATTTCCACGCGCATCCATTGGTCCAAAAGGCGTCACGTGGTACATTTTCGGCGGACTGGTATCAGGCGGTATCCCTCGTCCGAAGGTGATATTTGTCCGCGTAAGTTTTCAGACTTATTTTTGACACAAAAAAAGCTATGGAAAGTGATCAAAAACCGCTTTTTAAAGAGCTCTGATAATAAGAATAAAAAACTAGTTGACAAAACGACATCTGGAAAAAAAATTAAGTCGACTAAGTATGCTGTGAACGTATTTTTACGTTGAGAAAATTACTAGCCACTAAAATGCCGGTGAGTTTACAAACATCATTTTCACTCGCTAGTTCGTTCTGTGTCTCTTAATTTCGCAAATTCTATGTCTAGTGGCTATCATTTTTACTTCAGCTCAATGCAAAAGAACTAAAGACACTCATTTTCGAGGTTTTCTGTCAAAAAAGACTTGTAATTTACGCTAAACGCAGCAATAAATTTGTAGTTTTTACACTTGTCAAATGTTTAACCAATGAAATAACGAAAAAATTACTGTGAACCAATCACATCGTGTGTAGATTTTAGCTTGCGCTGTGATGGCTTTTCTTCCTCAACACAACAAAATGAATTTGTTGGGATATAAAATAAATGCTTCGCTTCTCGGCCAAATTTCTCATCCTCGGACATTATCAGCCGATATCCYRGCCGACAGAAGTGATTTATTTACTAAATATATAAATATAACTGTTGTACAAGAAGATTTTAACACCGTATAGTAAAARAGTAGTAGCTGAAACAATTTACTGACGTTTCGGACGTTTATAATCCTTCGTCGGAGTAAAATTAGCAAAAAATGAAACAAGGCTAAGTGTGAGTTTATATAATGAAAGARCATAAAAAGGTAGACCAATAGGAGCAAGATATAAGGCATGGTACGGGAAATAAACAACTCAAGTAAGAGAAATTTAAAAGAAAAGAACTATTGACACACCAATCTAAACACATTTGCCGAAACGGAAATAAGAAACAATACGATCTACTTGTCTTTTTCCGCTTGACTGATTGATGTCTATGAGTTCATATTAAAATGTTAGATGGTTTAGAGTTTTGTGTAGTAATCTTAAAGTTCTTCTCAAATGTAACGATGATCTTTAGAAAGCTATGGCGGAAGACAGTAATGTGAGCAGAGGAGCTTGTGCAAGAAGCATCTTTACGGTTGGGCTACAAGGATCAGAAAGTCTATTATGGTAGTTGCCTTTGCAGTGTAAAGTCAGTGAACAAATGTATCTAAATGTTGCACAATGTGTTTTAATGTACTTTATTCCAGTTGTTCATTTCTCTGTACAAGCCTTGTCAGCTTGTTCTTGATGCCTTGGCGAATGTAGGACAGACGCAGCGCCATGATGATTGGGTTGATGAGAGACTGGAGATTTACAAAGCTTATACAGATAGGTCCGGCGATGAACTGAAAGTCATTCGTCACATCTTTACCCTTCGTGGCTTCGATCACTGCGGTTACTATGAGAGGRGCGTAAAAGAGAAACGATAATGCTACCAACATGGTCATCGTAAACACTCGCTTGTATTCCTGGAGTCGCTGCTCCTGCTCTTGTTGTTGTTCGTTGTTGGTCTCTTTAACGGTTGCGATCTGACGAGCGATGATTCTACTCTGACGGTAAGCTGTCAGCTGTACTTTAGATGAGCAGTAGAGTGTGATCATGCAAAGAATGCCTACCGATATAGCTGCTGGAACTTTGAACTGGTCAGGGTGGCTTTCATTCAATAAAACGCTTGTAATGAACAAATATGCCGAATGTATAACCCAGGCAATTACAGTTGTTATCATAACTTTTTTYACTGTAATGTTCTTGAGATAAAAATTCAGATGTTCAATGGCTAAATATCGCTCAACACTTGCAATTGTAAAGCTGACAATCGTTGAACCTCCACAAAAAATGAACGAGCAAACATATGCCGTAAATGTACAGTCAGGTAAAAGACAATTGTTTTGAAGACATCCAAGAAATAAACAATACAATGGTTCGACCAGCAATCCTACAAGGAAATCTGTCACTGCTAAAGAGGTAAGCAAAACATTAAAAGAAGCAGATCTGAGATTTTCATCCCTCACGACTACCAATATGACAAAGATGTTAACGACAATTGTCGGTGGGGCAGCAAGACCATTGACAGCAACAAGGAAAGTCCAAGTCGGRTGAACTGAATCAGGACGGTTCATGTTATGAGGATCAAACTGAGGTATCGACAAGAAGCAGACACCAGGTGAACTAGAACGAACCACTACACTAGAAGAGTTATTTACCATGGCAAGCGAGAACTGTGGATATTTGCCTGGTTTTAAGCTTAGAYGGAGAGTTGTTATGGTCAAAATGTGCGTTCCTGATTAATCCAMCAAGTAACTGGAAATGATGTAGAGCGAAAACAGYGGGTCAAGTTGGCGCATGACTGTTATTCTGAGTGGCGYTCTATTCCAGCAGGTGTGCCACAAGGAAGGAAGTTGGGCCCTTGGCTCTTTGTCATAGTGATAAATGATGTAGATGCTACTGGCGTTKACATGTGGAAGTATACGTCGACGATACCACAATCACAGAAACTGTTGGTAATTAAGGAAAACCAAGCAACATCCAGGGAGTGGTTGACGATCTGGCGTTAAAGTCTCGTCACGATGGTTTCCAGCTCAATGAGGAAAAATGCAAGGAAATTAGGATAAAAAGAAAAGTCAAACTTCAACAGTACAGTAGTGAGCAACAAACTTTTACAAGTGATCGACACTGCCAAAGTTCTTGGCTTACATATTAATTAGTAACGACCTAAAGTGGAATACTCACATTACATGCAGARCGTGTTAAGAAAGCTTCCTCAAGGCTCTACTTGTTAAAGGGACACTGYCAATGGATGACATGCGCAGTAACMGTCTCACCTCTAAAGGACTTTGAAAGTATAACCTTCGAKGTAAATCATTTTGTGGTGCTTTTGACACACTTTGGAATATTCTAGATCTGTTTACGTTTACGATCTRATTTATGTCGCGCCAACTTGGAGTCATAAACTTGAAAACACTAGCCTAGTGTTTTCAAGTTTACTCGCGCATGCGTGCCATTGACAGTGTCCCTTTAAAACAGACTTGAAACAGGCATACTACTTTTTAAGACAGCTCAAGAGATCACAAGTTGCCTTCAAGGAGCCTAAAATTTTTTTCTTGAATTTGCATGTGAGTCATTTCATAGAGCTCTACCATAATATCTCAGCGATGACTTAGAGAGAATTCAAAGACAAGCCATGCGTATAATCTATCCTATGTTATCTTCATACAGTGAATCCCTCTCGAACTTAGCAGCCTTCCTACACTTTACGATAGTTGAGAGTCACTAGCAACCAAACTTTTTAACGATATAGCCCCAAACCCTCATCACAGACTTCACCATCTCCTTCCCGAACGTCGTAAGGACGTGTACTCCCTTAGGAACACAAGAAATTTTAGTACCRTATTTACTCGAATAAACGCCGCCCTCGAATAGACGCCGCCCTCAAATAGACGCCGCACAAAGCTCAAAATATTAATAGACGCCGCCCCCGAATAKACGCCGCATCTGGGTGCGGCGCCAATTTGAGTAAATAATGATACCAGCAATGGGAATTTATTTTCTCTTAGAACATTTTTTATTTCGAAGTGACTGTACTTGTTTGATCTCAGCAGCTGTTAGATTCCGACCACAAGGAGGACATTGAGGATATTGAAATGGAAGTTTTTTTTAACTCTGGTTAAAATCATAAATTGAATAGACAAAATGAACACGACATTTATATATTGACATTCGTTACTGTTTGTTAGTAAAAAGATACAATATAAAGTACGGTATGTAGTACTGAATAAAGTGTCTTTTTAATAACCGCCGTCCGTATAAAGTATAAGATAGGTGTTGAACATATTTTAAACTTTGTAACTATGTTTACTACAATAATCCAGTTTCGAATTCTCCTATGCTCTGCAGTGTTTGCCTCATTTGTGTGCAAAATATTCCTATTGTGAGAATAAACTTAAGTGTGAGATTTCAAATCAATTCTATTTTCTTTTCAAATTCCATGCGTTTTCTAGGGCTATCAATGAAACAAAAGAATATGGTGCTTGGTTTTGAGGCTAACACAGAGCAAACCAGAACTCGAAATTGGAGTATTCAGTCACTGGCTGCAAATGTAAATTTTGATAAAGTATCTATTGATCTGATGTCAATCAGTAAGWTTTTTAAGTGGTTCGACTGACGCTTTTTTCGTTTTGTTTTATAATAATTATAGAGTAGTAATTTCCGTACTCTTGAGTATCTTATTCCTGTTGAGTATCAATATTTTTAATAAGCTTTTGTGAGTCTTATTTCCACACTTATACCTTAATGCGGACATTTTGCCATTTTTTGCCATTTTGCTATATTTTGTAAAAACGTTATCTATGAATTATAGTGTTTCACGACCTACTTGATCAAATCTAATTCATTCCTTATATTTTCAATTATTAAATCTCAACCGCATTATCTTTGTTATCCGATAAAATATATGAAATCTTCATATAGAATGGAAATGGTAGTTWCTAAGAAGGTCACAGTTTCGTATGCTTGAGATTTGTTTGAGAAATTGACAACGAAGTAGTCCCAGAAGAATCCATGCGTTTTATAATGATAAGCCTAAATAATTATGATTTTACTTGTTTATAAAAGCCTTCTTACAGCAACTGCAACTGTTACATATGCCTTTTCTGATTACACCTATAGCGGAGCGTACATATTATTTACAAATACGGAAAAAATATCGTAATGYAAAAAAAATCCTCTCGTAATTCTGTACTGCATGAAGTAAGATCCGGTTCGAATACGAATAACATAATAATCAAGCGAAGCTAAAATCCGTAAAATTTTTGATTAGTCACACTGTCGCSGAGTGCGACATATACGACTTGACTGAGTCGAATCGGCGACTAAAGAAGTCGAATGTAMGGCARTGGTGCGGTTGTTGACTCACATGTGCAAAATGTAATGCATATTTCTTATCATAATTCGCATGAAAAAATTGTTTGTGACAATTGTTTGTATTCGAAACTTAGCTGAATCAAATACCAAATTAACTATTTTATGGGAATTTTATTGATTACATACACAGTTCGGCTTATAATTTAAGCTACAGCTACTTTTGACTCGTTTCTGTATGTCCTATAAAATCTTAAAAAGCATTGTCCCAGCTGTCCTATAATTTATGCTAGTTTCATGGATCTTTCCGGCACTTTTCTGTACGTAATTTCTAAGCAACCCAAAAACCTTTGTCYGGTTTTGTATTTACCATCATTGAGAGTATGAGAAAAAATCTATTATTGCACAAATATGCTTCCAAATGGCTTTGATATACTCGAAGGGAAAATAGTAAGTTATTAACGCACTAGTTGAGCAAAAAAATGGCTATTTATATAAATCTCGAAAAGACCTCTAGAAACAGTTTTCGCAATAAAACATCATCAAAAGTTAGCAATAACAATTCACTAATTTGTATGATTCGAATACAGCCTTTTGCAAAAATTATGAGAATTGTCGACATATCTAAATATCATAATATCGAGTGCATGATGGGTAATCCTGCGCGATGCCCTTAGTCCCTTCTCTTTGTAGTTTACTTTTTTTTTCGGCGACGGACTTATCCATAGTTCTGAACATTTCCTCGATGTGAACAATGAATTATTCTGGCAAACCCGCGTGTTCGGGACAAAGGGCTTCGCGCGGGATTACCCATCATGCACTTGATATTATGATATTTAGATATTTCGACAATTCTCATAATTTTTGCAAAAGGCTGTATTTTCCTCATATATACGTAATATCTTAAAATTCAATCGAATTTGGTATTTGACCGTTTTTTATTTCAAAGTGCGAGTTTCTATTTAGAGTGTCCACAAGCTCTGCATTCTGATTGGATGATAGGCACTGTTGTCTCGAATGAAGCGAATATATTCGAGGGAAAGTGTTTTTTTCTTTTGTCCTATTGTTAGGAGCTACGAGTTGAGACACTCGAACTCGCGGTCTAATTGTAGTAGTATAGTTTACAACATGAGTAGCCGTGTTGTATGAGAATTACAATCTCGAGCCGCGAATGTTGTAAACGACTTWTAAAACTCCAACACAAATTAAATGACAAATAAGGTAACTGCTGAGTTTAGTCCCTATTAAGCATGCGCAATTTACTGCAACACAGAACATTTTGAATAATTATCCATCCCACATGGAAAGCAAAAAAATCTAATTTTATGCCTTAAAGAGAGGGGGGAGGGGGGGGGGGGGGTACAACGTCTAAAATTAACTGAACACTCAACGGTGTCAGATTCTGTAATTTATTTTGTTTGCGAGGTAATTTTTTGACTCAATTTCAACCCCCCTCCCTCCTCTTGATAAATATTGCGCAGTTCCTAACTTCAAGTTTATTATACTTCAATATATGGTCAATTCATTTTTTTTTAAATTTGATATTATAGATAACCTTTACACACCATCTCATAGCTACACGAAATAAAGTTTGACGCTTTCCAAAAAGCAATAATGAAACAAAATAAATTATCATGCGATTATATTCTTGCGTTTCGTGTCGCTTTTACTTGAATCTACAACTGAACAGAAATCAAACATTTAAAGCTGATACATGTCACTCTCGTATGCAAGCCTGTACGCTGATAGTACGCGGTTTTCAATCCCRCTCTTTGGGTCATTTTATATGTTTTGGGGATGACGATTGTTATACTCCATTTTCGAATTCAAAGCGAATAACCGCTGCTTTGTTTGACAGCAGATTCTCATACGCAAAGAGCATTACAAAACACAAAAGAAAGCACGAGAAAATGTTGTAAGTACAATAGCGTACAATTCTTTTAAATTTACAATTTACATTTTATGGGAATATAGAGTGAGACTTAACTTGGGGAAAACGGAAATTTTCAAAGTTATTGTAATAACGAAATTTTCTCGTGCTCTATGTTCTGTTTTGGTAAGGCATTTGCGGAAGAGTGTCTGTTTTCAAATAAAGCAGCGTTTTTTGCTTTGAACTCGCGCGAAAATGAAGTATTGTAGTAATRCTTAGTGCATGGTAAATCTTATCAAACAGGTGTTATCATCGAAGCTAAGCCTGAAAGGGATCATGGGAAGGCAGAGTTGTAGTGCTGACATCGATCGTCTTRCTATGGGTCCCCTGAACCCCTCTCCATCACCTCCGCTCTTAGAAACATCGACGGTAATCCTTTTTAGAAACACACGGTTTTACAATTGATCTTTTCGCTGTTAAAAACAAAGCAGGCAACATTCTTTCTGCAGGCCTTAAATGAACAAGAGTGCCAAGTCATTTCAAAATCATGACTTTATTTTCCTAACATGGCATGACAAAAAGATAAACAAGCTAAAAATAGGACAATTTTGGTTTGTCTCCCGATTTTCACTGGCTTTGGTKCAAATCCACAGGCTCCTTACGAAGCTTGTTATCTAACCGCAAAAAGGGCGGTGTAATCAAAAAAATCTTTTTCCTCGAATTTCTTGAAGGAAGGAATAATATAATATGAATAATATAATATGAATTCTATAGTATTATACTCCCTGTAAACAAATACAGTAAAATAAAAGCTGTTGGTACTATTTTTTATTCATTTTTGGGCAGTTGGTGGCGGTCTTTTGTTGAAATTCTCTGTTGCATTTCTGATCAAAATAAGATGATGATTTTGTCTTAAACAAAATAAAATTAAAAGATATTTCATTGATAATCCGTTTAATAAGGCTTTAATCGACATAACCACTTTCTTTTTTAGCATAAAGATGATTGTCCTGTGATCTTTTTCTTGTTTTTGTATTGAAGGTGTTCAGTTGCTAATTAAAATCATGTGATATTTTATTACTGAAGGTTGTTTAAAAAATGACCTGCACTAAGAGCTCAGTTTTKACGGTGTTTGAAGTGCTACTCAGCATGTGGTCTATGTTCTCTCGACTCTGTTTGTCTCCTTCTGAATGCGTCCAATTGATCCATGACAGACGGTTTGTAAAGACTTCGTACAAATTCTCTTGAGCGTTTCTAAGATCAATAGAAGACATTAATTACATTACGAATATAGTATTCACTAAAACACGTCAAATTCTCAAAAGACTAACGCGTAGCCAGGTCGYAATGTTTTACGCTCTGCCAAAAGAAATGCTTAATTTTTAATTGAACTTTCAAAAAAGCTTTCTTGCTGTTTTGATAAATTAGCTTAAAGKGTTTTTTAGGCGCGTGTTCTTTGATGAATTGAATGATTGAAATAGGATTTACTTGGATGAATTCAAAGACCACATTGTTGCTGCCAGTGAATTCGCCCGTTGATATCGGTGTTCATTATGTTAAAAAGAGAAGAAGCCGCCGCTCCTCAAGYTCACTAATTTCAACATTTTAACCAAAACTGGAAATTAATCCAAGAATTATCTCAAATCCATATATCCTTACTGATCATTTAGCTACAGTCTTTTACGAACATTTTATAATCCGTCAGTGCATTAAAAAAAAGGATTAGAACTTTCTACACCACTTCCATTTATTTWTTTATTTGCCAAACTTGTTGAATTCTCGCGCGCGCTGATTGGTTGGTTGGAGTATGTCAATAAGAGGACAGACACACTGTGATGACACCATCGCGTCTCGCACGCGCTTAGTTCAAAGAAAAGAATGATTTGTAGACTAAAAATGTGGTAAAAAATTACACACGTTAAGAGTGTGTCAATAATGTGCGCAATTTTGTGTATAACTATAGATCCACCCACAACTTTAATCCGAGTAACCGTGAACGTTATTTGTTTCAAGCATATAGAACGTGAAATATCAAAAAGTAGGAGTACTGGTGCCTTGATTAAGAATGAGTACAACATATCAGGAGCCAACGGGGTCTATTCTTCTRAATAGCTGTTCTTGGACGATTTTTTGGCAAAAATTCTTAGAATGTACTCTTTTCTTGGAGAGTTCTTTTTTCATGAGTTTCTCGCTGCCAACCAGTTGTGACTTACAGCTGGCTGGGACATAAGAACAGATATATTTCTCCAAGGAACCYGTCGGCTCCTCCCAACATATAGCATGTATATTGCCTAAAACGAGTTATGTAAACATGCATAACGGCTAAATGAAACTATTGAAGGTTTGCTAGTTTAGTGCATAAAGAGAAGAGAGAGCCAAGAGGAGGTAAACAAAATATAGTTCCATGCAGTGTCTTGCTGAAATATTAATAAAATATTCAAATTTTCTCATCATCTACTTCAATAAGGAATATCATAGTTCCCGAGACAATTGTTTCCGAAATGATACTACACGTGAAACTTGAATCACTGGAAGRTTTTCTTTTATACTAATGGCTCTAACGTAAAAAACATTTTTGAGGTATATAATACTTAAATAAATAAAGCGGTTTTCATATAATTGCGTCACTGCGTGAACGACCGTATCCTGCGTTGTATCATCCGGGATTTCCTTTGGATATGAAAAAACTTCCTCTTGCTACGCAATGTAAAGCTTTCCATACTGTGRCCGTAACAGTTAGCGCGTAACGYTTAATAAAATGTTTCGAGATTTTGGTATCGCGTTGCCCTTATTTTGTAGTTTATACTGTCAGATCTTCTGCACCTGCAGGAAACTATTATAGTAGCGCCAGATGTACAACAGTAAGGGTCATAAGCAATATTGGCTTCTCAAGTGCSTTTGTACATGGGTGCAACTATTAGATTTCAATATCTAGATCTACCATCAATCTTTATATAGCTCATTTAAAGCAGTCTCGTGACATATAAAATTCTAGTATTCACAGGATCAAGATTGGGCGTCAGATCGGGGATCAAAAGCAAAAATGTGATCACTATTCAATGGAAAAAATCACGCGCTTTAAAGGTTGTAAATATGATGTAAATATGATGTAAGTGTCCAAAATTCTGTAAATTTTATGAAAATCATTTCCATTAAATTTACAGAATTTTGGACACTTACATCATATTTACATTAAATTTACAAACTTTAAAGTGCCCGATTTTTTCCAATGATTGGATCGTGATCACGGCAAGGATTTAATTCGATAAGAAATTTTCATTCATGCGCCAAATGTTTGACCCAAAAATTTTGATCGCGAACAAAACCATGAAATGTATAACCATGCGATGGTTGGCAAAAGGACCAAAGATAACATCATAAGATTTAATAAATTGAAAATTTACACCATAGAGTCTATAGTTTTCACTATTGAGCACATTAAAATCCACGATTGTTAATGGTAATTGGGAGCTAATTTGCTATATTCATATGTTCCTAAAAGAACGTATGTAAGCTATTGATAGTACACATCATACTCGACCATTGTCTTATTTGTCCTTTTCAGCTATCTCGGACTTGAACGTCATTGTTTTTTTTTTTTTTTAAGCAGATGGACAGTCACTCTATTATCTAGTTTCCCAAACCTTTAGTTTTTCCCCTCTTGGCTCAATGTGGAACATAGCTGTTTGAAAAAAGGTTGTCGTTGAGAACGATGATGGGCAACTGCCGTTTTGTAATTTCATCCTCGAACAACTGAATTGTATAAAAGTCAGTCTAAGACTCTCTGCTGAATTATTTGAAGAATTGATTATTCAGTGGATATATTTCTCGCAATTGACTATCAAGTTAAATGACAGAGTTAGAATAGCTCTATTCGGTCGAGCAATCAAATTCTGAAACGATTGACAATCGTCGTAGCTCTCTTTGACAACCCTTTAGACAACTGTTATATGCTTTCTATACATGTTTTAGAATTTCAAACTATGAGGAATAGAAAGATATCCTTTATATCATTAAGTATGTGATCCACCAAAAACTATGGACTATTTAAAATCCAGCGGTTCTTTTTGATTACTGAACAATAATATACGTAGTATCCACTAGATTTTATACAATGGTTGAATCAGGCAGTGAAGCGAAAATTGTCGAAAAAAAGATCAAATTGTTTTTATTTATGTTGATTTGTCAAATTTGTGCTATAGTTTAGCCTGACTATTAACTCGTAGTCCATAAGAACGGCGGTCTAATTGTTAAATATATAAAATGAAATTATTACTGCGTTTAAATGTTTTCTTGCTTTTGATGATGCACCTTCGGTGCGGAACTCGATAAGACAGTGTGAGTAATTAGAATAGTATTGATTAAAAGYTATGTGGAAATTGCTAAAACAACTATAAACGGTTATATAGAAATTAGTGGGCGAACTATTGTTTTACTAAGCCGACTTATGGCACAATATCCTCTACAAGGGCGAGGTTTTTTTTAGTATAAATTATTGTGTCTTCTGCGTTCTTGCCCTTTTATTTCTGAGGGTGATGGTAAATAATAAAAAAATCACTATTTTAGCTAAGTATTCTATAACATTCAATTCGAAATCTCAAATCGCTCCCTATAAGATGAAGAAATTAGAGCTTACGACCACAGCATGTATTGCTTATTTGAAAACCGTTTTTACTCCAGCGTATTTACTTTATAAAGAATCATTATTAAGTATTTGTTTTGTGTCTATGGATCGGTTGAAATGATATAATTTCAAATGAACATGTTCTTTTGCTCACCATTGGGAAATCTTCTAAAGACGTTAGTATTTTCCCTCKATTTTGTAACTGTCTTCCAGCTTTGCGATGTCCTATAAAAGCCCCAGCACTCTCAGACCTGTGAGAAAGGCTAGCAAGCACCAATACAAAGCCGAATATCATTGCTGTGCTAAAACTGATCTTCATTGCTTTAACCCCAATGTATGTACTACAGCCGACAACGCTTGAGATATTGTGATTTTCAAAGAAACATAAGTGCTTATTATATACTTGCCATGAGTCATCGAACCAAAGAAGGCCCCAAGAAAAAAAAGGATCCCTGCCGAGTTTAGAAAACCTGTCAGCTTCAAATGCCAGCGCAAATCAAAGAAACCCTAATTTGAATTCAGCTTCGCTTGTGATATTTCRATAGGAGCCATTGCCATTTTATTTATTAATAGGGGAAGTTCATGGGGAACATTTGCTCCTCCCCCATGCTCACGGCCTGGAGTAGAATTTCGACATGTTCTCATACTAGCCACAGCTAATTAAAACGTTCGGTCATTTCCTCTTTTGTACTTACTTGATGTCTTAAGTACGCGTTGTGTAGGATATAATTAAATACCCTTCMATAGGCAGGGATCCATGTATTAACATATAGAGTGCAAAACACCGTAGAAGAAATTAAATGTTGTTTGTGACGGTTTGAACGCCGTCAATGTCCCCWGTCCTTACTGTGAGGGTTAAAATCCCAAAGGGAACTAATCTATATATTTAGGCTTAACGTTAAAAACCATTATAATAACGCTCCTTTGCACATAAATAGAGTCGACTTCAGTTAAGTAAGAAAACTGCTTTGCTAAAGACGAAAAAATTTCTCAGTACTCCAGTAGCCCACGCGCAATTTTAATTTCCACCCGGCCGTACTTTAACGCCATACACCCTTCGCGTAACTATCACCACGTGGACCTATGTTAGGTAATTATTGATCAATACTGCAAGAAAACAGCGTAAATAAAAGCGAATAGCATACCTCTTTTACTTCTCTTATCATTGATAAAAATCACTAAATTTGAGTGTGTTCGGATGTTTACGCGTTTAATGAGCCGTTATCTCGGCAATTCAAACAGCAATTAATATCGTGTACGAGAGGAAGAGTGATGAATAATACAAGATTCGATYCATCTCGACGGAAAATAGGAAATGTGCTTATTTTTCCCCATTGGAGGTATTCGCTGACGACTATTTTTAATTAAAACGTGCGACACGTACGARCATGGCGGGCACAGCCGCCATCTTGAATTCATTATTTTCTTAAGAAATTATGGGATGCCGGGAGTCCATTTACCTGTGAATTCTATTTATAGATATTGCAGATTTAATTGTATGAATTAATTAAGATAACACTTTCATGTGAGGAACAAAACTTTAGAATTATCACAGAAAGAAGTAATTAATTTTTTTTCAATATTTCAAGTATCGATAGAGGGGCAACACATTATCATGTGTACTTCAAACACAGCTTTAATAAAAAGGAAATTCAAACCAAGGCCCCCAAAAAAGAAAGAAAGAAAAAAACTATTACCTAATGTCTGTAATGTTAATATTTTTTTCAATAGTTCAAACGACTAAAAAGTTATAAATAATCGATTATTTAAACTGAAGAACTGGCTGCGCATGTTGAACAATTTATTTTTTAGTAATTTCAGTGAAACCATCTTGCACATATCTCTGATACATCCTGTTATTAATGTAAACTTCAAATACCAGGAAGTTATCCTTGTTCTTGCCTTATAGATATAAATTTAAATTTTCTACACTTTATGTGTATTGAGCACTCTTTAATGGGATCAGCCACTTCCTCATACGATTAGATATAAATTTAAATTTTTATAATAAACATGACATTAATGGTGCTGATACGAACTTTATCTGTTCCACTGATGAGTGAAAATGAAGAATACCTTTGACCGTAAATATTACAGTTCCGAGACAGGTCTTCCGCACGAGCGCTTGAGGAAGGCAGATTAGTTTTTTGTTTTAGTTTATAACTGCTTAAAAAGTTTGTATATTAAGTTTAAAATTGTTGAAATCTCTGTAATGTTTGTTGTTGTTCTTTTAATCGCCAAAACCAATATATTCGCAACATTTTGCTGGTTGTTGTCACAACGATCACTGGACAGCGGTTTCGCGCCTGCGAATCGACCCTGCGAATCTAGAATCTGTTGAGACGACTCACGGGAAGCCCATTCAACTTTTATTGCAACATTTGTTCGAAATAATGTGTAACTTCTTTAAAAATTGTAGCGCGAAAAATGGAGAAAATAACGCAAAAATATCAGAAGTCAACCTAGATATTCAGCAAGAAACATTTCGTCTTGGGCTTTATTGCGTATTGTTAACTAAAACTTCAACTTAAATTTATAAATGAATTGAAAAAATTTCTTGCCGAGAATCTGTTCAAAATAGATCTATGGAAATAAATAAACCTTAGTAGCAGTTTCACTTCGTGAATTGAAGCCAACCATGTTACCATAAACGATAATCAATTCTTATTCTGAACAATGACAAATTTAACGATGATAAAAGCTTGTTGGATCAGGAAATGAACATGGATTAACGCCTGGGAAATGGAGAGAGAGGTGGACTTGAAAGAAGTTTCCGAGTTAACCAATAAGAAGAAGACGGGGCAACAGCTGTAACATCTAATTTTAGATTGATCGCATAACGTAGCAGATAATCACTCATAACTCACTCAAGTCGATTTTCACATTTTTGGATTTTGAGTGACATTTTATAAATTTTATAAAAAGTCACTTCGATAAAATCGCTGTTCTTCCGACATTTGTGCTGGACACGAAACATGTTATAAGTAAACTCTATAATAATGGACATTATCTGGTTTCCTGTAAATGCAGTTGAACCTTTGTACACAATTTTAAACTGCTAATGGAGGTGACTTAACTATATAACGGTTGGTTTATACTCTCTGTACTGTTACTCCTATTTTTGACCATTTTTCATCCTCAAACTATAAGTAAAATGCGCAAGAAACGTAACTGACAAGGCTACACTCTCCTTTCATACCCAATCGAAATGTCCGTACAATACTAGGGTTTCTAGTAAAGAAAGAATTCTGACAATTAATAATTACATATGTTGAATAACAAAGAAACTTTACGTCAGACGAGATAAGCCTTTAAAATCTTTCATTGATAGCTATTGATTCATAGCTTCTTGATCGATCAGTGAAACACTATACTTCAGTTATCCATCATTTGAAAGCAAATTCAGTCTTGCAGCCGCTTGCTCTTTTACTTGCTATGGCAAATAATTCTACTATGAGAGTCTTGGTTCCTACTAGTAGTACACCTGGTCTTTGCTTTTTGTCCCTGCCAGATTTTGACCCACATAACATGAACCGTCCAGATTCAGTTCACCCGACTTGGACTTTCCTTGCTGCTGTCAATGGTCTTGCTGCCCCACCGACAATCAGCGTTAACGCCCTCATCATATGGGTAGTGGTGGGGGATGAAAGTCTCAGATCTTTTTCCTTCAACGCTTTGCTTGCCTCTTTAGCAGTGACAGACTTGCTGACAGGATTGCTGGGCGAACCGCTGTATTGTCTCTTTCTTGGATGTCTTCTGAACAATTGTCTTTTACCTGAMTGTACATTTACTGTGCATAATTTAGYGAGTTTGTTCTGTTCAGGTGCAACAATGATTATCTTTACCATTGCAAGTATTGAGCGGTATTTAGCCATTGAACATCCGAACTTTTACCTCCAGAACATYACRGTAAAAAAGATCATGATAACAACRGTAACATCTTCCTTGATAATCATGGGACCTCTGTTGATTATTACCGCTTTACTGAACAGAAACTACGAAGAAATATACAAAGTTCCTTTGGCTATATCTACTTGTATTTTAGTTATGGTAATTCTGTACTGCACATCTAAAGTTCAGATGACAGCTCATCGTCAGAGTAGAACCATCGCCCTGCAGCAAGAATCAGTTCTACAGCCAGACGAACAGCAGCAACAAGAACAACGACTCCAGGAATACAAGCGAGTGTTCACGATGACCATGTTAGTGGTTTTGTCGATTCTCTTTTATGTTCCTTTCATTATAGTCACAGGGATAGAAGCCGTAGCAGGAAAAGATGTGACGAGCGATTTCCAATACATCGCAATAGAGATATGTTCAACATTTGTACATTTCCAGTCCCTCATCAACCCAATCATCATGTCACTGCGTCTGTCCTACATTCGCCAAGGCATCAAGAACAAGCTATCCAGCCTTGTACACTGAAGGAACATATTATAGTTCATGTTGGTGCATATGTTCAAATTATGAACGCTTAATTTGAAGATATGCGTAACAAACTACTCGATCAATAACCAGTCATACTGATCATATCCTTCGCCCATCGACTAAACGCGAACACTTGTATTAACTTGTCTCTCTGTTATCTTTACAAGAAGAAGGAAGAAGTCTTGATCTTGTTTTTTCCTAGTTAAAGAAACAGACAAGCCTCACATGCTTGTAAAAACTTTCGTTAAACTTAACTGTTCAAATAGATATCGAACAATAACATCAGTATACAGAAGCCTATCCTTCAGGTGAAATCAAAAGCCTCCAAATCGACTAAACATCTAAACATGCATGTAAGTAACTATAATCCAATATTCTTGCAGAGTTACGTTGACCGAGGAGGGGGGGACTCCATAAATCGAGGGGCGGCGGGATGATAGTTGTATCCATTTTGGGGTAAAAATGAAGGAGTTTTGTGTTTTCAAGTAGCTTGCCACGCACATCTTTGCAATGCTCTGGTATCTTTTTTCAGGTCTTTTTTAAATTTCTGACGATAATCACCCTCCTCCCCTAAGTACACTTAGATAAAAATACGGAAAAAAAATCGGAAAACAGGTGATCTACAGTTAGATTTTTTGTTGTTGTCGTTATTTGTAGTTTTAAAAGGAGTGCAATTTGATATCAAAAATTGTAAGCTATATTCATGGTAGTTTTTTGGAAAAGTGCCCTACATCATTTTTGAGAAGTTTTCCGTGGTTTCCATCTTGGTAATTAATAACATCTTAAAGCTTTTTCGACAACAATGATGATGCTAACAGACTTATATGTCTATAAGAGTACGGTGCTTTATATAACTTTTTATAACTAGACATCTTTGTTCGGTGTACTTACGCCATCATTTGTGTGGGAGTACAAATTCTACCCACAGACAAAGATTATTTTAGATTACACATTGAAACACTGTTCGTTTCCCTATGCTCTTTTTCGGTCTTTGGTTTGCTGATGTAACCTGTTTGAACGATGTTTGGACCCAATTACGCTTTTTCATAAGTACTTCAGTGTCCTTTGGCGCCTAATATGAAAACATATATTCATAATTCATATTACTATCTCACTTCAACGCTTCACAAGACTTTAGGAGGAGCCGACGGGTTCCTTGGAGAAATATATCTGTTCTTATGTCCCAGCCAGCTGTAAGTCACAACTGGTTGGCAGCGAGAAATTATGGAAAAAAGAACTCCCCAGGCAAGGAATACTTTCTAAGACTGAATTTTAGAAAGGAAAAAATAAATTCCTAACTAAAAAAAATATATAGCCGTTTTTGACCATAAAAACCTTGTATAAGCCTTTTTCGAGCTTTCGAAGTTTGCCAGGAACATATTTATTTTAAAGGAAGGAAGTGCGTCACATTTGCTTGTGAGATTGTCAAGAATGTAGCTCAAAATCCCTTTCCCGGAAAAAAAAAATTCGTACAAGAACAGTTGTTTTGAAGAACAGACTCCGTCGGCTTCTCTTGATAACTTTCTTCGAATTCAATGACAACTTGTTGTACATATTGCAATGCATATTTTCTCATGATCAAGTGATTATGTATAGAATAAAATAATCATTGGTTGTGTTTGTAGTGTTTAGAAAACAAGAGCTATATAGAGGTAAAACGATTATGTAATATTTTCAAGTGACTTACTATATTACCAAGTGCTGCTCTTGGCCTGAAGATCGTTTGCTGGAAAAATTTGAAAAAAATTATTTGATTGTTGAGGACCCTTATAATGAAAATCAACTTTGATGATAAGGCTTCCTCGTTAAATATATAATTATTTATTTATTTATTGAGAACTATAAATCACATAAATGCTGTGGGTCATCGGCCCCGCGGTTGCTCGCTGGATCTCTTAGAGGTATAAATTCGTGATTGGGAATCATTTTTTGGTAGCCAATTTGCCGTTTCTGGATATTTGCATTATCTTCAATCACTTAGGATTTTGAAAAAGAAGAGAAAGAGCGCATCTAATTGATTTTTCCTGCGTTTTTATCATTGGAACTGATTTAATTTAACAATATTTGTTGTGCAATATCTTTGGGGTTTAAAATCAGTCAGCCACGCACTTGTTTCAATACTTCCGGGATCTTTTAGTTTTTTAAAAAGAAATGATTTCTGACGAGCATCCCCGGTACTTTTTCCCCGGAGTACCCGCCCGAGTCATCGGCACACTCATTGCCGTTTTATTGAAATTGAAACATTTACTGTTACATGAAAAATGCATAAAACTCAGTATGTAACACTTGGCCAGTAAAGGTATCGTATCGRGTCTGGTATCGGGTGTAAAGATTCGAATGCAGAGGTGATTTTAAAGGGAACTCTGACTCTAGTTTTAAAATGTGTTTAACTTAACTTTCTGTAAATATAACGTACATATTTGAATCCAGGCCGGGCGGATTTATAGGATAGGGTTAGGKGTGAAGACCGATGAAGGCAATTTATAAATATTCATCAATAATTAAATTATGTTATAAGTATATAATTACTGAAATTTTCACTTGACCACTCAAATGGTTTAGCTGCAATAATTGGAATGTAATTATAAGTGTCTAATTAAAGCGTTTGAAACTAGAAAATCCCACAATTAACGTTGTGGGGCGACGCGTCTCGCACTTCGGCCTTTAAAAACAGGATGTACAGATAAACAAAATTCCTTGATAGTCATGTTAATGATATATTATCTAAAATAAAATTGTACTTAAAGACTTGAATGATTCATTGTTTTATTGCTACAAGCTGGTTTGGTTGAAGTTTTAGCGTTTTAGTAAACTATAATCAATTTTTAACGCTGGCATTCATTCATTATAACTTGCATGTTTCACCTATWTTTTTTACGTTGTTAAATTTATCTTTTTACACAACTGATGTGTTTACTAGCGACGGATCAAGAATGTCAAACTTATGTCTTTTTACCAGGCATACAAGTATCTTGTACAGTGTCCGTTTCAYACGGCCTATTGAGTTCAAAAGTAATTTACGAATGCACATTATGACAATTTGCGCACTTCATCTGTTTGCCTCACACTTCCTTAGTCACTGACCCGATATGACGAATCACCTCGTTCCAGGACCTCCTCGTCCGACTCCAAGTATGGCCGCCATTTTGAAAAAAAAAATGGAGGATTCGAGAGAGGTTGTGTTGATCTAACGAAGGGACAGGGACTTCTAGTTTTGTATCTACTGCAGGAGAAAGAAAAATGCTTACTTTATATAATAATTATCAATCTTGCCGTTTGTTATCGCTATCACTTTAGACCATTTTATACCAAGTTGTTAATATTAAGAGATCTTTTAAGATTGAAGCATTGAAGCTCTTCAATTTTATAAATGKTCATCAGTCGATTAGATCTTTCCGTCTATTGGTTTTATTGGAGCTTTCTTTTCTATCATCATTATYTTAGTTTATGTTAGTACTTGCGAGCAATGACTAAATCATTGTAAATCGGTCCGTGGTTTCAGCGCCGGAAGAATGGCTGCTTCCAATTTTACAGTCTGCTAAGTTTACGCCTACTGAGTTAAATTTCACTCATCGATCAACAAACCAAACACCAATTTACAGAAAGCTTTAGGTTTTGGTCACTTTTGTCAATTATGTTCGCTACACAAACTCAATTTTAAAGTGTCTAAAATCAAGTCTTTTTTTACCTGTGACAACCGCAGTTAAGGTCAACAAGGATCCCTACTAGTACGGAGGAAATGTAGAATATTTTTACACATCTTTTTTTATTTTTCTATTTTTGATATTATATAAGAATTACATAAAAGCATCCAGGATCATATCCTAATTTTCGATAGGTCTCTTTTCTAAACTAACCTCACTTAGATACTATTCTTAATATTTATATTTCTGCAACACTCCACCTGTGATTGTCATGGTGGTCTGATGTTAAAGATCTTATTCAATCAAATCCTTATAAGGTAGTGTATTGTTWTAAAACGGGTGAATTCGCCGCTACATCGAATTCGTTTGTGTGGCTCGCAACCTGCCATCTTCTGATGTTTCAAAATATTTGATTCGGCTCCTAGTTTAACAATCATGTTATTTTCATAGGCGGTTCAATGTTTACCAACTAGCTCTTTTAGTAGCTAATTTGTTTTTTTATTCAATATGATTGAGGCTCCATGGGGACTTTACTAGGTTTATCCCGCGGCAAACCCTCGGTTTATGAACTGCGATGTTCATTTTTCGGCAAAAGAACAAGCAATGATCCTTCTTGGTCGTCGTTTCATATCTGGACTTCAAACTCAAGGCTCTACTTCAATATGGATAGCACTTGTTGGGACTRTGGCAATATTAGCACTACTATGTTGGAATTTTCAAAATTATTGGGAAAAAGATGTTCAAAATTTACTGATAAGAAGCAGGRATATTCATTGCAAGTCTTGTACTCGAAAGTTGCGTAAATCTTCAGACGGTCCAAGCGAAGCGCATCTTCAAAATTGTTCCAGTCTTCAAGCAAAGATTGAAGCTCTTGAAAAGAAGTTGAAGATCTACGAGACAGTGGGAAAACTTACGGAGGATAATTCATTAGTTAATAACTACGGGAATAAGGTTCGTCAAAATATCCTTGTGATCTCATGTCTGTACTGTGGTAGCTCGTTTCTTGGTGAAATGTTAAATCAACATCCAGAGGTTTTCTACTTGGATGAACCTGTAGAGTCTCTGGTTTATTACCGTGATAACCGTCCTGAAAGCGTCTACGATGCTATGGTAACACACTTACTAAACGGTATTTTTCACTGCGACTTTGCCGAGCTTGGCTATTTGACTGATTTTTTATCMCTTCAGTATAGTTCCTTGAGACATAGATTAGCAAGCAGGGCATTATCTTCACCGCCGCTCTGCCCCAGTTCCAAAACGCACCAATCTTTTAACATTCGGATGTGCACGAGATTGCGATCCGCAACGGTCTCGGCAATATGCAGTCTTCRYAAACATACTGTAGTCAAATCTGTTCAAGTAGATTTTATCCATAAGCTGTCGTATTTGATGGACTCTCAAGGACCTGCGGACTATGCCCTGAAAGTCGTCCATCTTGTGCGGGATCCCCGTGCCTTAATGGACGCGCAGGTGGGTCATGTCAAAGGGAGYTGGACTCTAACATCATTACGACARCATGCGAAAACAATGTGCAACGATTTACTTTTAAACATCAAGTATGCGGTAAGCGCACCTCCTTGGTTGCAAGGTCGGTACACGTTGCTAAGGTATGAAGACTTAGCAACCAAACCACATCAAATCGCAGAACAACTTTACCAGTTTGTTGGTATAACGATAGCCTCGCAAGTGCGACGATGGATCGATCGTGCTCACAAAGACAGCGTTCCTTCTTTCTCGGGAATGAGTGATAAAATAATTGTTTCATCTGACTTGAAGAACAAACAAAAATTAGYCGATAGTGTTTATAAATGGAGGGAACGCATGCCCTATTCTGTAGTTAGGATTATTGAAACTGAATGCTATGAAGTGATGAATTTGTTAGGRTATAAAGTAGTAGATGATGAAGAGGAACTTAGGACAATTACAATACCATTGGTGGATTAGGTAGAATTCTTAGTAACTTAATAAAATAATRAAATTAACAAATTGTGCAGATCGCTGCCCTCATGGTCCAACTTGAGTTTTGAACTTTTTGAAGAGTATGTCAATAAGGGGACGTATAACTCAAAACAGTGCACATTTTGTTTTTTCTTACCACATTTTTNATGGAGTTTGTTTTCAACTTTTGACAAAAACCATACAGAGAAAAGTGTTGTTTGTGCACATACAAATAACCACCAGTTCCTTAAGGGCGCCCGTCATTTATTGTCATCGACTTTTTCTATGCTTATTCACTTAGGTTACGTCCTTTAGAACTTCCTCGGCAGCCGAAAACATCAACGATTTTGCTGATGGAGTGTTTTTAAACGAAGTTATGGTCGAAATGTAAGTTCTCATTGTATTGTTAGAGTAAAATGCGCGCTAAATTTATGACTGACTCCGTTGTAATTTTACTACACAAATGTCACAACAGTACAACTTATTAATTCTACAACGTCGCGGTATTTTTGTCACACTAAATATGTTGACTCGGGAACTTTGTTTTGTTTTAAAACAGAGATCCGACCTACTTCACGCTTACAAGAGTACACCAAAATGTCGACGGTGATGTCAATGTTCGAATACAAAATCTAGATTTTCTGGTCCGTCACCTGAAAGAGTTTTACCAGGTAAGGTCTGTTTTTGGAACGTGGTATGGTGTGGTCAGGTAAAGAGCACACCTTATGCAATGTTCGTTTACTAATAAATTTGAAGTGTTATGGTTTTSAGCYACGATACGAGATAACCCAGGGTGAACGCATCTTGAACATTCCATCCCATGTAATTTTATAAGCAAAACAGTCGCTCAACTYTCTAGTATTCAAGTTGTTAGATTTGTTGCTTGGAAAGTGTTTACACTCAAAGAGTAACCGGTGTCAATTCAAATTGATGTATATCTTTCGTAAATTTGCTCAAAATCATGGAATCGAATCTTCAAGTGGWATCTCGAAGTTGTGGTTCTTTTTAATATGCGATRTACGTGCCCATTATGTTAMCATGAATTGAAATTTTAAAATTTTCGTTGACTAATCTAAAGTTCAGTCTTGTCTTTAAACGAGGCCTTAGAAATTCTATTGTTTTTCATTTAATGTGGAGTTGATTTTAGTAATGCCATTTAGTGTCTCCAGCTGGTGAGAATTTTGCTGGTTCCCGATAAATGAGCATTTGTGATTGTTTGCGAATAATGATTGCACAAAAGAAGGAATTAGCACCTCGATATTTGAASTCTTTTAGGACTWCTCATCGCTTAAAATTTGAAATTCAAATAAGATTACTCACGACAAAAGTTTATATGAAATTAAAGATGTTTTATAAGTAAACATTGTAAACTTTGTTTGAACTGTGCCAAAATAGCCTACTCGGCCGTACTTCAATATATCATAACACAATACACTTCTTTTTAATATGTTGCGTCCTTATTGTTGCCAAGGTGTTTCTTGGGATGTTATTACGCCATTTAATGTATATTTTCGTTGTTTCRTTGTAAATACTTCACTCAAGCTATTGTTCTTTTTGYGACATCTGTGTAAACTTGAGTTTATGATTTGTGTGGAGCGGCTTCCGGGACGTCATTGAACTTCTTCCCAACAAATTGACTTTTTCATTCGTATTAACTGAAAATCATCTTGCCAAGTCTCTTTAAGATAACAATTTATACAATGTTTATTAGTGACATTATAATAGCATGAGTGGAATGTAGTGTTGATGTAATCTCCATTTTGTCATCACATATCGAGTTTCGTCTGGCAAGGTTTTTGGAAACCAGATCCCTTTATGATCCCTTTATGTAAGCTAAAATTTTTTTAGTTGTAGATAGACATAATTGTGAAGTAATTGCCTAGGGTTATTATGGTACAAAATACTGACTTCGTATCCTGCATTTTTTTATTCATAATTGTACATATGTAAATTACATTGAATGTTTTCTTAATTTATTTGAATATTAATTATTGATTGTTATAATTATTTTATATGACATATATGACTTTTCTAACAAAATGTACATATTAAAAATACAAAGAACTTTAATTGAGAAAAAAAAGTGTTGGACCATTAAATGTTGGGTATAAAAATTCTAATATAAGAAAACATCTACACTAAAAACGTTCTTACACAAGATGCATTTTCAAATTTACTGTAATGTGCTAATGTGCATGGAAATAGTTATAATCATTTTATTAAAGTACAGGAAACTCAACTTGCCTTGCAAATGATCATAAATTTATACATCTAATTGAAAAAAAGGAGAGGAAATATTGGTAGACTCTTGAAAGAGAAAAACAATGTTTATAGCAACATGCTAAATATGTTAATAAATGAAACTGTATTGAAGCTTTTAAAAATCACCAAATTTGTAATGCGTAAAGGGCAAAACAATTCAAGTAAGAACAACAATGAAGATTATAATTGTCAAGTCCTTTGAGATCTCAGTGAAAGAAATTACTAAGAGAGACTTGCTAGATGTTCTTTTGAAACAATGTTTTCAAATAACTGTATACTAATAATTATTTGCCTTCAGTTTCCCTTTTAACTCTAATTTCAATAATGCAGTCTTTTTATATTTTGACTAAGTGTGCTCTAAATGACATCTATTTKGTAGACAAATTTTTATCAGCTGGCAAATATGTTTTACCTATTTATATCGTGATTAAGCCATCTTTTGACCTTTTGGTATTCATGCCTGAAATTGTTATTTGTGTTGGTATATGTACGTGCATCATGCTCTTAATGGTCTGTTCAATATTTAGAGTTTTTGTGTACAGTAGACTCCTGGTACTTTCTGTCTATGATTGGCTAAAGATCACAATAGCTTTTGTTGTCTAGTTTTTCAACTGTGTCAATGTTATTCATTTTACAACAATTTGTCTATGAAGGTTAACTGCCAACTAACAGAACATTTTGTACTTTATATGGATGGGATTAACTTGATCTGAAATAAATTAGTTGGTTGTGTAATTCGACAAACAAGTTTTTTAAGTTTTTATTATAGGAGTTTAAATGACTACGTGCATTCAAAATATCAGTGCATTAATTTCCATTCTATTTTTGCACATACATATAGAGCATAATAATAGTATAGAGTGGAAAAATCCAAATTAACCAATGATAGTATAGGGTGGAACAAGTTTATGGTTTCATANATGGAGTTTGTTTTCAACTTTTGACAAAAACCATACAGAGAAAAGTGTTGTTTGTGCACATACAAATAACCACCAGTTCCTTAAGGGCGCCCGTCATTTATTGTCATCGACTTTTTCTATGCTTATTCACTTAGGTTACGTCCTTTAGAACTTCCTCGGCAGCCGAAAACATCAACGATTTTGCTGATGGAGTGTTTTTAAACGAAGTTATGGTCGAAATGTAAGTTCTCATTGTATTGTTAGAGTAAAATGCGCGCTAAATTTATGACTGACTCCGTTGTAATTTTACTACACAAATGTCACAACAGTACAACTTATTAATTCTACAACGTCGCGGTATTTTTGTCACACTAAATATGTTGACTCGGGAACTTTGTTTTGTTTTAAAACAGAGATCCGACCTACTTCACGCTTACAAGAGTACACCAAAATGTCGACGGTGATGTCAATGTTCGAATACAAAATCTAGATTTTCTGGTCCGTCACCTGAAAGAGTTTTACCAGGTAAGGTCTGTTTTTGGAACGTGGTATGGTGTGGTCAGGTAAAGAGCACACCTTATGCAATGTTCGTTTACTAATAAATTTGAAGTGTTATGGTTTTSAGCYACGATACGAGATAACCCAGGGTGAACGCATCTTGAACATTCCATCCCATGTAATTTTATAAGCAAAACAGTCGCTCAACTYTCTAGTATTCAAGTTGTTAGATTTGTTGCTTGGAAAGTGTTTACACTCAAAGAGTAACCGGTGTCAATTCAAATTGATGTATATCTTTCGTAAATTTGCTCAAAATCATGGAATCGAATCTTCAAGTGGWATCTCGAAGTTGTGGTTCTTTTTAATATGCGATRTACGTGCCCATTATGTTAMCATGAATTGAAATTTTAAAATTTTCGTTGACTAATCTAAAGTTCAGTCTTGTCTTTAAACGAGGCCTTAGAAATTCTATTGTTTTTCATTTAATGTGGAGTTGATTTTAGTAATGCCATTTAGTGTCTCCAGCTGGTGAGAATTTTGCTGGTTCCCGATAAATGAGCATTTGTGATTGTTTGCGAATAATGATTGCACAAAAGAAGGAATTAGCACCTCGATATTTGAASTCTTTTAGGACTWCTCATCGCTTAAAATTTGAAATTCAAATAAGATTACTCACGACAAAAGTTTATATGAAATTAAAGATGTTTTATAAGTAAACATTGTAAACTTTGTTTGAACTGTGCCAAAATAGCCTACTCGGCCGTACTTCAATATATCATAACACAATACACTTCTTTTTAATATGTTGCGTCCTTATTGTTGCCAAGGTGTTTCTTGGGATGTTATTACGCCATTTAATGTATATTTTCGTTGTTTCRTTGTAAATACTTCACTCAAGCTATTGTTCTTTTTGYGACATCTGTGTAAACTTGAGTTTATGATTTGTGTGGAGCGGCTTCCGGGACGTCATTGAACTTCTTCCCAACAAATTGACTTTTTCATTCGTATTAACTGAAAATCATCTTGCCAAGTCTCTTTAAGATAACAATTTATACAATGTTTATTAGTGACATTATAATAGCATGAGTGGAATGTAGTGTTGATGTAATCTCCATTTTGTCATCACATATCGAGTTTCGTCTGGCAAGGTTTTTGGAAACCAGATCCCTTTATGATCCCTTTATGTAAGCTAAAATTTTTTTAGTTGTAGATAGACATAATTGTGAAGTAATTGCCTAGGGTTATTATGGTACAAAATACTGACTTCGTATCCTGCATTTTTTTATTCATAATTGTACATATGTAAATTACATTGAATGTTTTCTTAATTTATTTGAATATTAATTATTGATTGTTATAATTATTTTATATGACATATATGACTTTTCTAACAAAATGTACATATTAAAAATACAAAGAACTTTAATTGAGAAAAAAAAGTGTTGGACCATTAAATGTTGGGTATAAAAATTCTAATATAAGAAAACATCTACACTAAAAACGTTCTTACACAAGATGCATTTTCAAATTTACTGTAATGTGCTAATGTGCATGGAAATAGTTATAATCATTTTATTAAAGTACAGGAAACTCAACTTGCCTTGCAAATGATCATAAATTTATACATCTAATTGAAAAAAAGGAGAGGAAATATTGGTAGACTCTTGAAAGAGAAAAACAATGTTTATAGCAACATGCTAAATATGTTAATAAATGAAACTGTATTGAAGCTTTTAAAAATCACCAAATTTGTAATGCGTAAAGGGCAAAACAATTCAAGTAAGAACAACAATGAAGATTATAATTGTCAAGTCCTTTGAGATCTCAGTGAAAGAAATTACTAAGAGAGACTTGCTAGATGTTCTTTTGAAACAATGTTTTCAAATAACTGTATACTAATAATTATTTGCCTTCAGTTTCCCTTTTAACTCTAATTTCAATAATGCAGTCTTTTTATATTTTGACTAAGTGTGCTCTAAATGACATCTATTTKGTAGACAAATTTTTATCAGCTGGCAAATATGTTTTACCTATTTATATCGTGATTAAGCCATCTTTTGACCTTTTGGTATTCATGCCTGAAATTGTTATTTGTGTTGGTATATGTACGTGCATCATGCTCTTAATGGTCTGTTCAATATTTAGAGTTTTTGTGTACAGTAGACTCCTGGTACTTTCTGTCTATGATTGGCTAAAGATCACAATAGCTTTTGTTGTCTAGTTTTTCAACTGTGTCAATGTTATTCATTTTACAACAATTTGTCTATGAAGGTTAACTGCCAACTAACAGAACATTTTGTACTTTATATGGATGGGATTAACTTGATCTGAAATAAATTAGTTGGTTGTGTAATTCGACAAACAAGTTTTTTAAGTTTTTATTATAGGAGTTTAAATGACTACGTGCATTCAAAATATCAGTGCATTAATTTCCATTCTATTTTTGCACATACATATAGAGCATAATAATAGTATAGAGTGGAAAAATCCAAATTAACCAATNGGCGCGTGTTCTTTGATGAATTGAATGATTGAAATAGGATTTACTTGGATGAATTCAAAGACCACATTGTTGCTGCCAGTGAATTCGCCCGTTGATATCGGTGTTCATTATGTTAAAAAGAGAAGAAGCCGCCGCTCCTCAAGTTCACTAATTTCAACATTTTAACCAAAACTGGAAATTAATCCAAGAATTATCTCAAATCCATATATCCTTACTGATCATTTAGCTACAGTCTTTTACGAACATTTTATAATCCGTCAGTGCATTAAAAAAAAAAAGGATTAGAATTTTCTACACCACTTCCATTTATTTTTTTATTTGCCAAACTTGTTGAATTCTCGCGCGCGCTGATTGGCTGGTTGGAGTATGTCAATAAGAGGACAGACACACTGTGCTGACACCATCGCGTCTCGCACGCGCTTAGTTCAAAGAAAAGAATGATTTTTAGACTAAAAATGTGGTAAAAAAGTACACACGTTAAGAGTGTGTCAATAATGTGCGCAATTTTGTTTATAACTATAGATCCACCCACAACTTTAATCCAAGTAACCGTGAACGTTATTTGTTTCAAGCATATAGAACGTGAAATATCAAAAAGTAGGAGTACTGGTGCCTTGATTAAGAATGAGTACAACATATCAGGAGCCAACGGGGTCTATTCTTCTAAATAGCTGTTCTTGGACGATTTTTTGGCAAAAATTCTTAGAATGTACTCTTTTCTTGGAGAGTTCTTTTTTCATGAGTTTCTCGCTGCCAACCAGTTGTGACTTACAGCTGGCTGGGACATAAGAACAGATATATTTCTCCAAGGAACCTGTCGGCTCCTCCCAACATATAGCATGTATATTGCCTAAAACGAGTTATGTAAACATGCATAACGGCTAAATGAAACTATTGAAGGTTTGCTAGTTTAGTGCATAAAGAGAAGAGAGAGCCAAGAGGAGGTAAACAAAATATAGTTCCATGCAGTGTCTTGCTGAAATATTAATAAAATATTCAAATTTTCTCATCATCTACTTCAATAAGGAATATCATAGTTCCCGAGACAATTGTTTCCGAAATGATACTACACGTGAAACTTGAATCACTGGAAGGTTTTCTTTTATACTAATGGCTCTAACGTAAAAAACATTTTTGAGGTATATAATACTTAAATAAATAAAGCGGTTTTCATATAATTGCGTCACTGCGTGAACGACCGTATCCTGCGTTGTATCATCCGGGATTTCCTTTGGATATGAAAAAACTTCCTCTTGCTACGCAATGTAAAGCTTTCCATACTGTGRCCGTAACAGTTAGCGCGTAACGYTTAATAAAATGTTTCGAGATTTTGGTATCGCGTTGCCCTTATTTTGTAGTTTATACTGTCAGATCTTCTGCACCTGCAGGAAACTATTATAGTAGCGCCAGATGTACAACAGTAAGGGTCATAAGCAATATTGGCTTCTCAAGTGCGTTTGTACATGGGTGCAACTATTAGATTTCAATATCTAGATCTACCATCAATCTTTATATAGCTCATTTAAAGCAGTCTCGTGACATATAAAATTCTAGTATTCACAGGATCAAGATTGGGCGTCAGATCGGGGATCAAAAGCAAAAATGTGATCACTATTCAATGGAAAAAATCACGCGCTTTAAAGGTTGTAAATATGATGTAAATATGATGTAAGTGTCCAAAATTCTGTAAATTTTATGAAAATCATTTCCATTAAATTTACAGAATTTTGGACACTTACATCATATTTACATCAAATTTACAAACTTTAAAGTGCGCGATTTTTTTCCAATGATTGGATCGTGATCACGGCAAGGATTTAATTCGATAAGAAATTTTCATTCATGCGCCAAATGTTTGACCCCAAAAATTTTGATCGCGAACAAAACCATGAAATGTATAACCATGCGATGGTTGGCAAAAGGACCAAACATAACATCATAAGATTTAATAAATTGAAAATTTACACCATAGAGTCTATAGTTTTCACTATTGAGCACATTAAAATCCACGATTGTTAATGGTAATTGGGAGCTAATTTGCTATATTCATATGTTCCTAAAAGAACGTATGTAAGCTATTGATAGTACACATCATACTCGACCATTGTCTTATTTGTCCTTTTCAGCTATCTCGGACTTGAACGTCATTGTTTTTTTTTTTTTTTAAGCAGATGGACAGTCACTCTATTATCTAGTTTCCCAAACCTTTAGTTTTTCCCCTCTTGGCTCAATGTGGAACATAGCTGTTTGAAAAAAGGTTGTCGTTGAGAACGATGATGGGCAACTGCCGCTTTTGTAATTTCATCCTCGAACAACTGAATTGTATAAAAGTCAGTCTAAGACTCTCTGCTGAATTATTTGAAGAATTGATTATTCAGTGGATATATTTCTCGCAATTGACTATCAAGTTAAATGACAGAGTTAGAATAGCTCTATTCGGTCGAGCAATCAAATTCTGAAACGATTGACAATCGTCGTAGCTCTCTTTGACAACCCTTTAGACAACTGTTATATGCTTTCTATAC